AGAACTAATAATTTATTTCATTTTAGTCGGGATAAGACTACAGATTTAGTTAATATAGTAAAATATTAATTAATTAAATAGAAAAGTGTGCGTGTGGCGATCTACGATAAAAGTATATCGAGAAAATCCTCAAATTCCTTATTGTTTTACAGCCTTTCTAAAAATTTGATAACAATCGATAGGAGCAATCGGATCCACTTACTTGATTAAATTACGCATCTTTAATTAAGAAATAAGCCAGATTAATTCAAATTGTTCTTCCGAATTGACTACAAAAGAAATGTCTGGAAAGATGGCAACGACCGCTTTTTCAGATTTCCTAACAAATTATTTAATTAAATATAAAAAATTCCCGGGGAAGATAACATTCCAATGGGTCTTACTGCGAAATATTACCTCGATTAGATAATAGGAGGATAATCAACAAAATATATTTTTGATAAACGTATCCGAAATGATACGAGAGACTGTAATTTTAAACGTGTCAACGTGCTGATCTACGTCAATTTCCGTCATTTGTTATCGCAAGAATGACGTGGATACCGTCAAACGTGGTCTTTGGACACTTTTCACAAGTCTACTTTTATAAGAAGTGATGTAGTTTCTCTTCATTATCATTATTCGCGGCCAGCAGCAGCAAACGCTTTAAACATTATCAGTGGATTTTTTTTTCAAAAAGTTCTTCTCAATATCAGGTGTGGTAGCTGATGAATACGTAGTTTGAGTATATGTCTCTTTAATCCGAATCAGTAAAACACGGTAGACTTTCTCTCAGCTATAAGGTTAGGTGCTCCTTTATTGCAAATCACAAATGCATTTCGGGCCTATATGAGCCCCTCTTCAGTGTAAATGCTCTGTTTTCTGAGCATTTACACTGAAGATTACACTGAAAATATTATCAGTGGAAATGAAGGCAGTAATCAAACCAAACGATCTTTACTATTCGAAAATAAACGTTTTAACCAAAATTTAAAAATAACGGGTGGAATTTAGCTTAACGAACACTTATAGCAAAAGTCTCGAGTCCAGATATTTAATATATTTTTTGTGAGACAAATAAGCCACACTTTAATTCCACAAGAAAGAATTCCCAAATATGAGGTACTGTACATAAAAGCAGTAAGGTATGAACATATTTGTACGTTTGAAAGGACTTTATCAAAGGTTTTTCTTCGTTGGCTGCTGAGCTTCCACATATCAAATTTCCAGATCTGTAAATTGTAGATTCTGTAGTAAGACCGCGTGTTATTAAAAGTTATTAAAATTATCGGAAATAATTCACGAAAATAATTAATAAAAGTTAGTTTAGTAGTTACTTTTTTGAAAGATTTATAAATGAAGCTTTTAATACAATTTACATTTTACAATTACGTAGTACATCATTTTGGAGGGTTATCGTACAATTGAGACTATTATTGACTAGTATGCCTCCCGAGATGCATTTCGGTCCCTGATATTAACGGCCCTCCTCAGTTAGATAATCATATTTTAAATGTAAAAAAAAAAAAATTTAAATTTTACAAGACTCACACACTTATAAACCAATTAATTTCATTAAAATAATAATAAAATGTTTTTTCTTGTAATTTTGAAAACTGTGTCGGTAATTATTGTTGTCTTCTAAATAGTCAACTAAACTGTGTAAATGTAGATGAAAATTGCCTTGTGTTCGAGTGTTTGTACTACTGTATTTAGGAAACAACAATAATAAAATGATAAAACCATTAACCCGTAAAATATGTACATCATAAGCTTAGCTGTCGACAGCTTTATAATTATATGGTAAATATTTAAACAATATACTATACAACATAGCAAATTATCTAAAAACACGTCGTTTCACTAATATTGCTGTAATCAAACCTTACGGCATTATTTCTTCTCATTCATCAACGAGCCGATTTACTGTTAACACGGTATTACGCTCCATTTCAAGCCTTTGTACAACAAATTCGCCTTTACCCGTTAAAGGGGTGCGCTAAACTTTAACGCGTTCATTCATTACTAATCATGTATTATGCATTAGTCATCAATATTATAGTCTAACTTTAGTTACTCCACGCACAAAGCAAATATCTTTCACTTATCTTTTCATTGTTAATTATCCACCATGAAAACTAAGCTTACATTAACCCTAAACTACCGTAATAATCACCAATAGTATTATTTAATTAATATTATTTAAGATATTGGCTTGGTTGCATGATGTACATATTTTATGGATTAATGGTTTTATCATTTTATTATTATTTTAATGAAATTAATTGGTTTATGAGTGTGTGTCTTGTAAAATTTTAATTGTTTTCTTACATTTAAAATATAATTACCTAACTGAGGAAGGTCATTAAAGGACCGAAATGCATTTCAGGAGGCATACGAAGCAATAATAGTCTCAATTGTACTACGTAATCGTAAAATGTATATTGTATTATATATAAAAAGAGGATTAAAGACTAATCGATAAATAAAATTTTATTTTTTATCAATGAACCTTTATTTTTTGTGTTCGTTTGAACGAAAAAATGGCGATGCTGTTTTGCGTTTCGAGATTCTTGACGATTTGATAAAATAACAATTAACTTCAATAGGTTCACAATCACACACATTTACTTAAACTTACTCACACTCGCATTCGCATATACTCATGCTTACTCAATCACGTTCACCTACTTACAGTTATATTTACATTCACTCACATATTCCATTCGAATCTTTCTTTTGTCATTTGAAATTTCACTAACAAAGTTTCTTAAAATTTCGGATTCGTTTTTGTAATACAGTAATTAAGTCGGATAATTCAAGTAATTACCACATAAAACATTTAATTTTAAAGAAATAATTCAATTATTTTAAAAATTTATCCGTGTTTAATATTAATTTTAGAATTATCAACTAAAGTAAGGAAATTTCGCGTACATAATAAAATTTTTATGACTGAAAATATTCGAATGATGTTCTACGTTCGAAGTAACTTTCGAGGAAAGACTAGGAGAGTTTCGGCAATCCCCACACAATCGAATACGGATTTTATTCTTTTCCAAATTTGGTTACGACGTCATAACTAGCTACGAGCGAAAAATGAAAAGAAAATTTCACTTTTAATTTTGGTTTCATTGTTTTACAGTTTCGATATTAAATCCGGGTCGATTCATCCTTACTAATTGTTTCCATAACTCTTGGAAGTGACGTGTCGACTAGACATATCTCGAACTTTGCGTAATCCCGACGTTTCGCACACCCTATTATTAACCTTATCCGTGGGGTTATGGTAACCTGCAAATTTATTTTTTCAGTTCTTGCGTGACGCTACACGTCCAATTCCGTGTTTTGTTTTCATTTTGTCTGGTGAAAAGAGGAAATTAATTTCGGAATTTTGCAAGAACTTCGACAAACTCATTGTCTTAATAAATTCGAAAATATGCGGAAAATCCGTTTGCCGAAAATCTGCAGTTTGTTTTTGCACACAAACGCGTAATTTTATCAAATTTTATCCTTTAATAAGTTTACCCGAATATTGGATGGGAGGAATCGAAGCTATTCCGAATTGTATTGGACCTCTTCCTCGCCAAGTTCTGTCGAAAAAGGGATTTAATTAGTTGAAAATATTATCATTTTTAATAAAATTATCGGCAAATTCTACAACTTTAAAAGTTTCATCATTAAAAAATATACAATTCAAATTAATAATTAAATATCATCTGTATAGCGTCTACTGGTAAATGACAATCTAATATATAATTTAATAATCGATGGTATTTTTTAAAAATTAACAGCGTATAAATTTACTAACAAATAGTTTCTTCCGACGGAAACAAGTAGTGATAGCGAGTATTACAATTGCACATCCGTAACAATCGACAATGAAAGGTACGTGGAAATCCGTATCGTTTCCTGTAACTGTGAAGAGAACGCGAAGAATAAAAATAATGCGCGATATATCCCCAGAAAGATGCCAGAAAAGAAAGCGAGAAAATGCTTTCATTATATAAGACGGCAATTAAAAAGTTTGTTCTGTATTCTGCCAATTGTGTCCTAATCGAAATCGCGCAATAATTAATTACGCGAAGTTTCGGGACCATTTATAATAAATTGTTTCGACCGTAACGTCTGATCGACGGCAGTCTTCTAGAGATGTGATTTTAATCGTTATAGATAAAATAATTTTGTATTTATCTGTAGAGCCTTTTAAGCCATATGATTGATACTTTAATTGTCTCAGCCTTTCGGCCGTTCCCATTGTGAGCTCTAACCGACGATTGGCATAGAAATAAGGCCTTAGTGCTCGCGGGAGCACTAAGGAAAAATGTCCATTTCATTTCATTTCATGGACGATAGAGGAGTGCTGCAGCTTAAAATGTCCATTTGTCATATCCATACTATTATAACACGAATGAAGAGTAAAACGTTATTCGAAAAGCAAGAATCACGAAGATTTAAGAAAGCGGATTCTAACCTCAAGGTTTAACATTAAATATTTATACAATAAACTTTTTTTTTTAGTTCTGTTCGAATTTTGACATCCCTTCCAAAATAATCGATTCCATTAATATTTTTAATTAAGAGGAATTTACGAAGTCATTCCCGTTAAATTTTCTTAAAAGGAGAGAATTGTAAAGATGTTTCTGGACTCTTTCAATTAAAGTGACCAAGATGATCGTTCTCCGATAATTTCCGTTTCCGTCATTAAAAGTTTTAATTCGAGTGATTACATCCGAGTGTCGAATCGACGAAACACTATCGTACAGTCATCGTTACCGAATACGTAATCTTATTTCGAGTTGGGTATTTAATACGTGACCGTGTATTTTCTTGCACGGTCACGTTTGAATGGAAAATTTCCTTTGCAGGCGCAATCTTTGTTCCGGAGGAACGCGATTTTTACCGTTTAGGAAAGCGATTGCATCGCCTACGAAACTTTTAATCGGAATTTTCGATTTGCGCGATGTCTGTACAAAGTATAAATACAATCCACGATCGGCGGGAATCCGTAATCGTTCGAGATGAACAACGAAGAGAAAGCTCTCCAAGACCCACATTTTCCCACCAAAGCGGTGCACACGGGCCAGGACCCCGAACAATGGACTCACGGAGAAGTCGTTCCTCCCATCTCCATGACCTCCACTTTCCAACTGCAGATCCCAATGAAGCCAGGGGTAAGTTTGCGCTCGTTATCTAGACGGTAATGATAGCATCATTTTGTTTATGTCTTCTAAATTATAATTAGTGGTTACTAGTCTAAGGTAATTATTATTAGTAGATTTGAAATCAAAATCAAAGTTGCTCTTATCTTTTTACCGTAAACGGTAACCAGAACTTTGACATTACCGTATACACTGCTGGCAATGGGGAAAGTGGCCCATCGTATATCTTTAATGCTCCTAATTACACACAGTACGAATTTAAAATCGTGCTTTGTAACTTATAATAGGTTAAAAGTTTTTAAATCAAATGTTTAAATCGAAAATTCAGAGTGTACAAATTCTCTATCGACCCACAGTATATCTATTTATTACGAACATATAAATATTAAATTACCATTATTTGTTTATAAAAGTAACTTATTTGTATGTTTTTTTATTTGGATAAATTTTTTAAAAAAATATTCAACAAAAGCTTTATTCTAACATTTAACCTTTCAATAAGAATATTTTATAATGTAATGTAAAAGTAATCGCTCAAATATTTATTCTTACTTAATGATAAAATCTCTGCATAAATTTGTTTCAACTCCTATATTAATAAGAAATGAAGTTTTACCCGTAGATAAAAATTTATTAAAAAGTTTAGCCATTGAATGCTGAGTAATTTGTTGTTTTTTTTTTTTTTTAGGATTTTATATATTCGAGACTTAGTAATCCAACTAGAAACTGTTTGGAGAAATGTATCGCCGCTTTGGAAGATGCAAAATATGGTAAGAGCAATGTTAAACTTAACTTTAATTTAAAAAGTATTGAATTTTTTCCACCGATTGCGTAGTTCACTAATTTAACTTTGATTATAATATTAATATATAAATTTATATTATACATCTAGGTTTATGCCACTCTTCTGGATTAGCTACTATTGAAAATATTGTGCATTTACTGAAAGTGGGAGATAACATTATATGTTTCGATGACGTCTATGGAGGTAAGAGTGTCGGAATTAAAATATATTTTAGTAATATTTTTGAACTTTTTCGTATTATACTAATCTATATGCGAATGTATCGGAAATTACTTTAAATATTTAATCTATTTTGTAGATTGAAATGTACAAAATAGATTAAAATGTCGTGTAAGCATTCGATTTTATACAAAGTAATTCGTAAATTAAGAATACAATACATTTCATTAAGTAAATATTCATTCGTAATTATTTCCTTATTTGCTCTATCAATACTAACTAAAACAGTTTTTAAAAAACAGTGGAAACAGTTTACGAATTATTGTAAGCCATTTTTCAGCATATCTTCTTTTATCACATTTAAAAATAAAACAAAGTAAATGTTTTTTATTAAGTGAAAGTTAATTAATTACATGTTTTATAGACCGATTAATTATTATATATTGAGGTTACGCGAGAAGCCCGAGGTAAAAAAAAATAATAAACTATAGAGTATGTGTAAACCTTCGTAACTAAGTATACTGTAAATGAAATTCAAATATTTAGAATATGTCAAAAATTGGTTGAAAGGAATAAATACTTTTATTTATTTATTAATGATACTTAAACTCTTGTAAAAAAAAAGAATAATTAATGCGTGTTTTGAAATGTTTTATAATTGCATTGAACAGAAAATAAAGAAAAAACAGGAAAAATTTAATAATAATTTATTAATTTATTAAACACGTGAACAGTCTCTTACTAAAATATCAATAATCATAAAATTCATATGCTGATGTACAGTATGAGTTATTAATTAAAAATCATTTTCTGATTCTGTGATTTGTGTTTTCTTTGCGATTTTTTTCGCATTATATGTATTCTATGTTCTTAAATTTTAATAAGGACAAAGTTTTCATTTAGTAATTTTAGCATTCTTTTTTGTTTTTAATTTAATTCCACGTATATTCATTATTTACCAATTAAATTAATAACGAAATGTAAATTAAGTAAATTAAAAATAAACTATTTTTACAACAAATTTACGTTATATTTGAATTGTTATAATTAATATAATTAATTCTGTTACTATTTATTCTAGGTACGAATGAATTTTTTCGAGTTTGTGCCGAAAATATGGGCCTTAAAACGACATTTGTCGACGCAAAAAATCTCGATAACGTTAGGAAAGCTATTAGATTAAATACGAAGGTAAGTTTGCTTTCTATGTATCCTGCGGGCAAATAAATAACAGTTTCAAACAACTTCTATTCCTTTAGCTACTGAAAAACATTTTTGATTTTTGTTCTTTTTATTAATTAGTTGAATAAAAATTTAAAATTAATCAGAAAATTTTAACAATATTTTTCTAGATGATTTGGATGGAAACACCAACAAATCCGACGATGAAACTCGTCGACATCAAAGCAATTGCAGATATTGCAAAGAATGCCGCATCTTCTCCAATTTTAGTTGTGGATAATACATTTATGTCACCGTATTTTCAGGTACATTTTACAGCTTTTATTATATTTTAAAATTTATAAAAACAAAAGTTTAGATTAAAAATTTTTTCCAAAGCGTCCTCTAAAATTAGGAGCTGATATAGTGATGCACTCTGTGTCCAAGTATATGAATGGTAAGATTTTAACGAATCTTTTTATTTTTAATATTTATTTTTAATACTTGATCATGATGTATTTTATTTCTTCAATTTGATCAGATCTTCAAATCTTTTTGAATATCTCGTAAACATATCGCGCAGTTTACCAGTTAAAGAGAATACAAATAGATAAAAATTTACATAAAACAAATAAAAGAAGTAAACAGTTAAATATGTTTTGTTTAATTATATATACTTAATACACATATAAAATAATAAACTTAAGTTACAAAAATTTTAAACAAGTAAACAAAGGGAGTGGGAGATATCGAGTGAAGCCAGGGGTTTGCCTGAGAAGTAAAGTTGGAGCTTGTTGGCTCGAGTAGGAAACGAAGCGAGAGGGGAGTAGATTTGTCCAAGAGGGAAATGAAGCAACTATTTTTCCAATTAATTTGAGTATGGACGTGCATTTCGAAACAGATCCAAACTTAGTTTACATTTCAGAATTCTCACTTGGAATTAGACAGATGAAGGTATACGTATTAAAATTTTAATTATGAATTGTTTATGTTGGAAACAAGTGGGTAAATTGAGTGAGGAGTTGGGTCGTAGTAGGTGGGCAGGGAGCAAAGCTCCTACTTGTTTTAAAAATGAAGAGTAAATAGAAAATAACATTCTATAAAAGATGAATTTGGTTTCGATGATGTTTTCCAAATCGTTGTTACTGTTGAACTGCATATAAAATAACAATGAAACAAATTAAAACGCAGTGACAAAATACATTGTTTATATTTAGTTTTAATTTGAAATTACTGGTTGTTATAGACTAACTTCTGTATGTATCTATTTTAAAATTAAGAAATGATTTTGCAACATGCAAATATGTTTAGTTTTTTGACAACTGTGTTTTATAATTTTGAATAATTTCTGTGTTCGATTGAAATGCTATCAATGCCAAGAATTTTAAGCATTTTGAAAGTTTTCTTCTTTCGTTCATTTTATTGTTACTTCCATTGAAAGACTAAAGATGAACGAAAGAAGAAAAATATAATCTTGAACAGTTCAGCTAAGTGATTGAACTTGTCTACCGAATTTTTCATTATATTTATTCATGGATGATTACTCTCATATAAATATTTTTACATAGTAGCGAGTTATTAGATAGTGAAATATTTTTACAATATTGTCAACCAAATGCCTCAAATTACAGAAAACACTTTGAACTTAGTGATGATTAATTTAATTGCGCATTAAAATGATGGAATTTGTTTTAATTAAATTTATTCAAAGATTTTACATTTAAATTTTCAAGTTTAAAATTATTTTTATTTATTGAAATTGATATTAAAAAAATTAATAAATTATGTAAATCTTAAATTAGTATAAACTAAAAATAAAGATAACAACAATTCACTAAGTATTTAATTTAATGATAAGATTAAATGTAAATTAAACAAAAGCATTTATATTAAGATTTAAACAACAGTTTTGTTATTATTGTGTTTTTTAGGTCATTCTGATGTTATAATGGGAGCAGCTGCAACTGATAATGAAAAACTTTATTCACGACTATTATTTCTACAACATGGTAATTTTTTTATAGTTTTTCTTTTTTATAAATGACAGATTTATGTTAACTAAAATTAATTGAACAAAAACATTAAAAAAGACAAATTTGATACAAGAATTTTGGNATTTGCTTTCTACCGGACACTTGTAAAAGAAAATTTTCTGTTCGTTATAACAATCTCCCTGTTTATATTCACACCGGGGACACAGAGTTTAAAAGGTTATCCTCGATTCGTAGCCATCTTGTTTACATTTCACTAGCGCCACTGCAAAATGAGATAGCAGCCGTGGGAGAAGATCGCTTTTACTCCGAGTAAATGTCACAGTATAAGCGACGAGTAGTTTTTTGTGATTTTATTCGAAAATGTGAAAATCTTTTTATAGAAGAATTTGAAACAAACATACACATTCCGGGCCTACTTCGGAACATAAATCACTCAGTTTCGATGCCGGAATCTCGCGATGTTATCTAAATATCAGTGGCGTGCGCGACATTCGATGATAAGGAACCTATCTATCCATAAAAATTATAAACAAATAGTGCAAATGACAAAAATAAACAATTTATTTATTTTAATTCTAAAATAGATACATTGATGTGAAACAAAGACAAGAACTTGTTTATGAAAATAATCTCACAATACGTATTATAAGTAATACGTATTGCGCGATTACACAAACAAAAATCGTTCGAAATTCTTTTAATATATCGTTGGTGCGCAAGAATTGTGACACAACTCAAAAAATAGTTCTTCCAGAACAGCTTTTTAAAAGTTTCTGTTTCCCGCAAGGCTTTGTCGTGATCTTGGATTTTTAAATTTTTCAAATCTTTTTTGGAAATAAATATTAGTGTTCGTTCTTCCACATAAAAATATGGGGATACTAATGGAATTTACCTAGACGACTTATTTTCATGAAAATTAGGGGTAATGTCTTCTCTCAATCACAGTACAGTAAATTTATTTTTAAAATGCTTCTATCTCTTATTTAATAGAGTAAAAGCAATAAAATCTGGAGATAAAACTCATTTTTAGCGCTTTTGGATTCGACTTGTTTTAGAAACAAACCCTTTCTTCATTTGTTAATTGAGGATGATAATATTTTTCAAGAAAATGGTAAAATAATATTAGGTTTTTTTTTAAATTTAAGGAATTTTCAATACTTGTATTTTAAAAAATATTTTAGGTGTTAGCAAAGATTTTAAAGAATAATTGTTTTATAATTGTTGAAATCATTTCATTTTACCGTTTATAAATACGTAATTAATGTAATATGTTTTTAAGCTCTCGGTGCAATTCCATCTCCATTTGACTGCTTCCTCGTAAACCGTGGCTTGAAGACACTTCACGTACGAATGGAACGCCATATGGAAAATGGTTTAGCCGTAGCAAGATTTCTTGAAAAACATCCGATGATTGAAAAAGTTCTGCATCCAGGTAATAATTTTTAAATAATTGTTACAAATTGTTGGTTCCTTATCTTTTTTATAGTTTATAGTTTATTAAATTATTTATTTTTGTAACTTTTTAAAATTTTCATTGTTTATTATATATGGTTTTATTTCCTTTGTTCCACGTAATAATTTATAATTATATTTTACAAAATCATAATTATTGTTATTACTTACTTCTGATGAACAATTTTTAAACAAATATTACAATTTTGTTTCTTATATAAACATAGAAACATTTTGTTCATAAACATATATTTTTGTATATTGAAAATGATGCAATTAAGGAAAATTTTTTAATAAAAATTCTTATATAAACTATAAATGTCAATAAAATTATTCACCTATAAACTGCTTTCCCAGAGTTTTCAGATCTATATTATCTCTCCACCTTTTTATTATTTTCTTTTTTCATTCCTTAGGACATCAAAAACTATCCTATTTCTTTTAAATAAAATTTTTTCATTCATTGGTTTCTCTATTCCCAATTTTTTATTACTACCAATCTTCTTAAAGTTTTATTTATTCTGTGCTTTCTGGGTATTTCACCAATCTCGTTCAACTCTTTCTTTGATTTTTCCTTGTCTATCCTTACCTTAAACACACTATTCACCAATACCCTAAAAACTGCTTTTTTTACATTCTAACAGGTCTCGCAAACATCTAGAAAATGTACCCTCCTCTTTGATTTCTGTTTCAACGTCATATACAATTCTAAACTCTCTACCAATACTATTCTATCCTTTTCCACATCTTTTTCAAACAATTTATACATCATCTATTATCTTCATCCTATTTCCTACCTTCAGTCTTTCCTTCACCTTTCTTACTGTAATTTCAGTACCAACCCTGCTATTGGATACTCAATGAATACACCCAGGGCCTTTCAGAGAAAGTGCAAGGCCCAGGGCAACTAGTATTTTAGAGGCCCTTTAAAATTTAAAATAAAATTGTGGACGAGAAAATAAAGTCAATGGTATTTAATATTTTTTGAATTATTACATTTAATTATTTTACAGAAGCTTTCATCCTCCTACAGAAAGTTAGAATTTAATTTTATAAATGTTAAAATTTATCAAATTGCTTTGCCTGTTATATTTTTGTTTAACGTATTGAGTTGCCAAGTTGAGACAGGATCCTAATATTGTGAGGCCTGTGGCAGCTCCCCCTCCTGTCCCCCCTGATTGGCACTGAGTACAGGGTACATCTCTCTTCTGCCTGTAAATGAATAACATTCTTTTCTGCCTTGAAATATGCATTATAAATAATTAAGTATATATTAAATCTAATAAATCTTTAAAGCAATAATCAAAGTAGTAGACATAACTTAGAAAATTAAGAAAATAAAGGTTTTGCTATTGATTCTCTAATAAAAACATTTATCATTTATTTACAAAATAATAATTAATATAATTTACATATTGAAAAATTAATATTTTTTCAGTTTGAATGAATTTTGTTAAACTTTAGTAAATTATAAAATAAGCAAAACTTGGAAACAAAATATTAGAAATAATCACAATAAAATAAATGATCATTTCTTTAATTTTACTCAATATGCTATTAATATTCTGTTAACATATTTTATTTTTTATGACAAAGGTCTTCCGAGTCATCCTCAGCACGAACTAGCAAAACGACAGTGTTCTGGATTCAGTGGTATGGTTAGTTTTTACATAAAAGGAGGTCTGGAAGAAGCTCAAATATTTGTCAAAAATCTGAAATGGTTTATAGTCGCCGTGAGCCTGGGCAGTGTTGAGAGTTTGGTGGAAATACCGTAAGTATCTTAAACATTAACACTGATATATTGCCAATAAGTAATTTAAAAAACATTATTAGATGAAAGTTTTTGAATCAATTTTGACAGTTCTAGTAAAAAGAATGAATACTAATTAAATTCTTAATATTCTAATAACATTTAACAGATGAATATTTTTAACTACTTAAGCATTTTTGTTTAGTTTAAATATTCAAGAACATTTAATTATTAATATTCATTTCTATTTTTCAATAATATAACTAGTAAAGTAAGTTAATGGAGAAACTGGAAACGATGTTTCTCGATGCAGTTAGTTTGGGCAAGCACTTTGAGCAGTAATGTGTCACAAATGAAAGATTATAAGTGATTTATTGTTGATAAAAGAAAAAAATATGATGAAAAGCAGATAAAAAAGAAAAGTTTAATAAAAAAAATTAAACTAAATCAAAGGTTCCAGAACAATGCCGCTACCACAAACTGCTAGCAAGATACTCAAGTTAGTTCCAGAATATTTTGATTAGAGAAAATTGTGAAAATGAGACAGTACTACTGCCGCTACAGCCACCTTAACAGCGAGAGCAAGTGCAGTAAGTGGGGCCGTCCACATAGGACGTAAATCTGGTTCTTTTTCTTTGAACTCGGATAACTTTTCCACAGTTCAACCGAAATTCACCTAACTCTGGAAAAATATAAAGCAACTCCTGGCTTTATATTCCAAAAAACAGCACCCAAAATGTCAAAATACTTTTTTGTTATTAAGCATCAAAGAGGCGAAAGTAAACATTTTCGGTTTTTGGTTATATCTTATTAAAGTTGATTATATTTTCCAGAAATATATTTATGCACTTGCCAGGGTTCTACTGAACATTTTGACATAAAAATCATCAAAATCTAATGTGGGAATTTTTTAAAACTCGGTCATGAAATTGCAAAAGCCTGAGCTCGCTTACTGCACCCTGGCAATTAGATCATTTTTTCACCTCATTCACCAACACTCCTACTGAAACAAGTTGCAGTAGGAGTGTTGGTGAATGAGGTGTAAAGATAATGAAAGTAATGACAGCAAGGACTGTGGATAATATGTATAGTTAAGGAAAGGAACACAGATAAGGAAAAATTATTTTATTATGGAAATTAGTAAAAAAATAGTTGGAATATTGAAAAATCAAAAAGTGTTTGTGCCTCAAAAAATATGAAAGAAAGTCCACCGAGGAGGGAAATATTGTAATTTCCAAAATGCATTTGGATAAAATAAAGTTGTTGGTTGACTAGTATTTTTGGAGTTTGTGGATGTGATAATTCCTAGGAAATAACAGTATTTGAACCAGTTACATATTGAAATTTAAAAATGGAATACAAGCAGAAAGATAAGGCATAAACTTACACCTGCGATTTGATGATTGAATTGTTTGATGGACAGAAATATTATGTATCCAAATTTTCTTTTTTTAATATTTTTTGTCAGTTATTATAATTAATTAATACAATTAATTCAGATCAGAATTAAAAAATAAATTTTCATCCTTATTTCCTAAATTTCCAAAAGTTTGTTTTTTATTCATAGTCTGATATTTTATAGAACAAGAATTTTTCTTACTTTTGATTTACATTTTAATTCAAACTAACTAGAAATCAAGCTTTTTATTTTAATTTAATTTTGCATATTTAGTATTTTACAAGCATGGTGTTTATATTTTTGTATAATGCAAATTCAATCACCCATACCATAGGATATCACCATTTTCTTTTATAATAACTTGGATGTTTCTCGCTATATTTTATTTTCTATTGGAAAATTATACTCTTTATAAAGGTGTATATTTATTTATTAATTATTGATTTAATAAATATTATGTCGTTAAAAAATGTAGTTGCTCTTCAAAATTTCAATTAAAGCATTAAAAACAATAAAGAATCAGAATAAACTCGGAATAGTAACTCTGTGGATTGATGAAACAGATTGTTAATGCTCCAGTTAATTGTTATATATGTCTGTATTGACTTATTGTTTTTCAATCACCTAATTGGCACTATATGCATATTTATTTGAGATGATGATGGGCATTCAACAATTAAATACATTGTACTTTGTGTATAATCATATATTTAAGATCGGAATTATTTAAACAGAAATGTTAACTAAAACAATGAATTTTTATTAGTTTAAAATCTGTTTTATTTACATTTTTAAATGTTCTCTTTTAGATTTCTGATGACACATCAGAATGTTCCAGAAGGACACAGAAAAAAAGTAGGCATAACAAGTAATTTAATTCGTCTTTCGGTGGGATTAGAAACAAAAGAAGATCTCTTAAGCGATTTGAGTCAAGCTCTGAAGTCCGTTGTAAGTTTTTTTAATAGATACAAATTTTAAATATTTAAAATTTTGTGGAAATATTAAAATGAGGATAAGTCTTAAATGTGTTTATTCACTTATTTAAATAAATTGGGAGTGTTTTGTAATCAGAAAAGAAGGAGGCATCGCACGTTTATTGCAAAAATTAGAATACGTTATCAATGAAAATCAGATTATTTAATGCCAGAAACTTTTTGAATAGTCAAATAGAAAATAGAGTTTATTAATTCTGACAATAGAGAAAAATGAAGTAATAAAATAATTATTTTTATTACAAATCAAGTACAGCATTTTTATATTTATGACAAACATTATTATGAAAATCGATAACCACATAGGTTTAACGAAAGTTTCGTTTATTTATCATCAGTTTCCCGCAGTACAGTATCAATGTTGTATTTTGTATAAAGCTGTAAATAACAGTATCATATATTGTCGTTGAAATGTTTTTTGAAAAATATTGCTAGTAAATCATCAAATTTATAAAAACAGCAATGTTTTAAATGGATTATAAAGTTTAAATATTGGAAACTACGGAAATGATAACATTTTAAAAATATTTCAGTTAATAGATAATAAAAGGAAATAATAATAATAATATACCAAAAAGTACCCCAGACAGTTTATATATTAAATACTGTAGTTAATTTATTATTATTTTTTAAAGTAATCACTTTGCGTTCTATATAAATATTAAAATATTTTTGATGTTTTATATAGAACAAAAAGATGGCATTTTAATTACAGTAATTATAAATATTTGTTTATATTAAATGATTTTATCAACAGTAAAAATGTGATTTTTTTTAATTTATAGTACACTAGAATATGAATAAATAAACCGTATAACCGACGTAATGTTAGATTATCATTTAAAGAGATGCCGCTACGTAATAAATTTTTATAAATTTTGTTTGAATCGGATTAAAACTCGAAACCATCAAATTTGGAATAAAATGTAAAAATTATATTATTTTAAATTAATAGCCATTTTTTTTCTTTGCAGCAAAACTGGTCTCATAATCGTCAACAGTTCAAGAGCGCATAAACTCGTATGGGACGGACGACCGACGTCACCAAGATACTCTTTAAATACTTAAATAACAAAAGCCAATAGAATGGTGCAAAATTTGTGCTTTTATTGTTTTATATTTGATTTGTTGCGCTAATGTTTTAATTTATTGTCGAAAGGAAAGAAGAGGTAATTATTTGTTTCAAAACATTATCTTATGTATTATTACACGAATATTACGATTGAATTAAACTGGTCATATAATTAAAGCTCTCTGTTTTCTCTTGGTCGACTTTTACCGTCAGACCGCGGCAGATTTCTATTTACATCGTCTTACCATTATATTAAAACGTGTTTAATCAAGACTTTTATTTTTAATCGAGTTTAATTTAAAACTTAGATTTCATTTTAGAACAGACTATTCCGAATATGCAAAATTTACGTCCGACGTTAGGAAATAAACAATTTGAAGACGATAAATCGTATTTAAAATAAATAATTGTCGAAACATTACGAGTAAGAACCGAGCTCGAAGTGGCAAACTATTGTGCAAATTCTTACGGGTGTATACCGTAAATGTAATTTTAGTTTGAAAAAATCACGTGTTTTAACGTTAAGGATCCACCTCGGCTTAGAATGCGTTATTCAATTTCGACAAGATTTTTAGTTAAATTGCGGGGAACTATTGTATTTGTTTCCGTTTCCCCTTCGTCCGTAATAAAAAATATGAATATTAATATATACATCTACGACATAAGTTATCGAATGGGGTCTAGTTTAAATGTTTGTAAACCCCTTCCTTGGCGCGGTTTGGCCGTCCCCCGATCCAGAGATTGGGAGGACGAAAACCGATTCGTCGTAGTTAATAATGCCGCCTTCTACACTTTAAATTCATTGTTACAACTACAGAATATAACGTCCAGGTGGAGGGAAGAGAAACTTTTAAACTAAAAGGAAACGGCATTTAATTAATCTTAATGCCATTTCAAATGCAACAAGTTTTGAATTTGGAAAAATGAGCGTGTCGAGCGATTGATTAGAAAAGATTCAATAATTTTAAATGTCGATAACAATGGCTGCCTCAAAAATATTAGAACAATACTGTATTGTAATTTTAAATTCTTTATATACGAAACGTTGTTCAATTAAGCTTTACTTCGTAATTAATTATTTTAGTTTTTAAAGATGAAAAATAACATTGTCTATGTATCTGCTCGGCAAAAATTTTTTGCTTAGAGAAGTACCGCACATTTTCGGCTCAGCTACGAAAAAAATAAGAGTGAACGTTGCGTAATAGAAATTGCTGTTCGAACCGTTCGAGGATAACATTAGACTGAATGAATTCGTTCGAAATTCGTAAATATCATTTTCATCACTTTATTTAATACAAAATAAAATCAATTTTATTTTTAAAGCGAAACGCTGTAATTGAAATCGATTAATGTTAAGACGTGACGCGTGTGACGTATTTATCGAAAGTAACCAATTGTTTGAAGGCATTGTCGAGCGTTTCCGTTGTTGGCGGTGTACTGTTGGAGGAAGAAACATCCGCTTTCTCCCGTTTCTTTAATTTTGTAAAAAAACTTGTCGAATAAAAGTAACATTCCTTTGTAAAAAGTTGGAAGTAGGTTTGTGAATTACTAAAATTTTTTCAAAATAATAACGAAAATAGAAATAAAGCTAAAGCGCTGTAAAATCTTTTCAAAGCGTCTTTTATATATGGTAGGATAAATAAGTCACGGCTTAAATTGAGAGACTTTTTATTCAACTGCTGAGCTGACATTAATCGATTTGTTATACCTTCTTTCCAATCTTTAACTTCGAAATCTACTTTTATTCATTTGCTTTCTACCGGACACTTGTAAAAGAAAATTTTCTGTTCGTTATAACAATCTCCCTGTTTATATTCACACCGGGGACACAGAGTTTAAAAGGTTATCCTCGATTCGTAGCCATCTTGTTTACATTTCACTAGCGCCACTGCAAAATGAGATAGCAGCCGTGGGAGAAGATCGCTTTTACTCCGAGTAAATGTCACAGTATAAGCGACGAGTAGTTTTTTGTGATTTTATTGGAAAATGTGAAAATCTTTTTATAGAAGAATTTGAAACAAACATACACATTCCGGGCCTACTTCGGAACATAAATCACTCAGTTTCGATGCCGGAATCTCGCGATGTTATCTAAATATCAGTGGCGTGCGCGACATTCGATGATAAGGAACCTATCTATCCATAAAAATTATAAACAAATAGTGCAAATGACAAAAATAAACAATTTATTTATTTTAATTCTAAAATAGATACATTGATGTGAAACAAAGACAAGAACTTGTTTATGAAAATAATCTCACAATACGTATTATAAGTAATACGTATTGCGCGATTACACAAACAAAAATCGTTCGAAATTCTTTTAATATATCGTTGGTGCGCAAGAATTGTGACACAACTCAAAAAATAGTTCTTCCAGAACAGCTTTTTAAAAGTTTCTGTTTCCCGCAAGGCTTTGTCGTGATCTTGGATTTTTTAATTTTTCAAATCTTTTTTGGAAATAAATATTAGTGTTCGTTCTTCCACATAAAAATATGGGGAGTTTGCTATACATTTCTTACAATAAACTCGAAATTGGAAATTTTTCAGTTGTGTCGCATTCTTGTGCACCAAAGATATGAAATTTTCTCGTTTTAACTCAGATATTGTTTTTGTCTTTTTTTTTAAAGGACTGATTATAAATACTACTTTAATAACAGTTTTAAACAGATCTCTATTTAAACCTTAATCCACAACCTCATCCTTAATTTCAAATTATTCTTATTAAAATTTTTTTATAAACCAAATATGCTTTTTCTTTCTTTATACATGATATAAAGTTAAAAAATGTAATTACGAATAAGATTTTTTGACAAAACAGTAGAAAAAAGCTACAGAAATGCTTGAAAACTACCTACTAACCAAATAAATAAACCAACTTCTCGCCGTAGTGCGACTCTAACGCCAACTATCGGCAACCTGGCACATTAATTGCATTTGAGAGCGTAGCTCAAGGACCAGTATATCTATATATGTCATTGGTAGGCTCCGTCCTGCGCCGGTGCCATTCACTCTCTCTTCGGCACATTGGAGGATATTTTATTGTGACGTGGTGATAACGCCGGGCTGCAATTTTTAATCATATTTTTTAAATTTATTTAATTGAAAATATATGCTCTCCGCTTTCAAATTATCAGTGTCTTGCCCCTGTACATTACACATTTTCTTTAGAAATCGAGTCGTGCCGGTCATCTATCTAATTCCTTTCGGGAAAATTTTGAATTAAAATAATGTGTCTTCCGATAAAAGCCGGAAGTTCGAATATAGTTAATCGGGATCTTCTGCTCTTTAGGTTTCCATATCTGGTCTCGGATTTCATCTATCTAACTCCGTTCTCGAAATTAAGGAAAGGCAGACGAACAGACGGACGGCAGTGGGAATTTATAGGTCTACAATTTTTTTCTATATTGCAGCCCAATAATACATTTCTAAACTGGGACTTTATCTCTCCTCACCGCGGATGGCCGAGCGGTCGAGGTAGCAGCCTACCGCTCTGGAGGACCCAAGGATCGAATCCGAACGGGTCGAAAAATCCTCAGGAATTTTTCGGGGGTCCGTTCGGATATGTCGGGCACCCGGCAGCTCCATTGTGGGCCCGAACCCATAATGGGCTTGCAATAAGAGACCCTCTTAGTGCCCACAGGGCGGAAAAAGTTATAAAGAAAAAAAAACCGCAACCGACTGCGGATTTAGACTTGTCGAATCTGCAATGTTGAGTATGTTTTTATTTGTGGGAAAATTAAACATCTCAAACATTTTTTCGAATAATTTGTATGGTGCCGCGACCTTTCGTTTTTATCTCCTCGACGGTGGCGCGTTATCCTATGGGAATAAAAGTGCATTTCCCCTTGGCGGCCACACACAAGAGTCCCAAACCGATCTTTTATGAGAAAATATTTCCCCCGAAGCATTCCCCGGAGTGAAATTTCGACACCGTACGCCAGACTCCTAATTTAAATTGGCCCCAACCCCACCAAACTATAAGTCGCCACTGCTCCTCGGCGTAAAATTTCGACGTGACGCGTACCAAAAATGGCTGCCGTTCTAAAACATTCTCGTTTTCGAAAGACGAGAATGTTTTCGAGACTTTACTAAAGACAAACGGGCGCGATCAAAGCAACGAATAGCTTCGATAGTCTATACTTTAACGTTGAAATTTTTTCTCCGCCGATTTATAATTTTATTTATTTACGATTTACGTTTTAAATTCATTTAATTAAACAAAGGCGTTAAAATTTTCCGAGCACGCGACGCGGCGACTACCGGCCGACCGAAAATTCGAAATCCGGCCAGAGTCACGGAAAGGTCGCGCACGTTCCGGAAATCGTCACTTCGCGGCAACGAGTCGAGAAAGCGAGATAAAACGATCAATTATTAATCTAAAAATATAAGTTGACAAAATAATCGAATTTTCGCCAAAAAAAAAAAAAGTAAAAAGGAAAAATCGATGGAATTCGTTGTGCCATCTGGTGGCGGCGGGTAGAGTCAACGTGACGTCAGAAGGAGTGCGATGTCAAAAGAGAGCAGGGAAGATGGCGGACGTGAAGAATCGCTATCCGCTTCACGAAAGCGTATTTTCCGGCGACGTTCGTCGCGTGGCATCTCTACTCAGAACGCACGACGTGGCCCAGAAAGACATGAACGGTAGGTTTTTATTCGGGGACGACCTCGTCCCCCTCCGACCGTCCGGCACCGGCGATAATTAAGCACTTGTTTTGGTCGGGGTGGCGGTTCGCGGCAATTATCTAATGGTCGAAGCCAGAAACTCTGAAGACGTTCCGGTTAATAAATTATCCCGTTCGTTCTCCGTTTACCGCGGGAGTTAGTCCAACGTCACGGGGATTTTAAATTCGTGCGGCCTTACCGTTTGCGTTATTTCCTACGGTTGCGATTTACGAGTCTCTCGTCCGTCGGAAACGTCGTAAAATCTTATTTTTTTACCGGTAGACGCCGTTTTCTAGAGCTGTTTGCCTGGCGACGTCTTCCTTTCCAAATCGAATTAAGTTTACTTAACGAGAAGATCGACTCTATTTACTTTTATTCGCGTTTCCGTGCTATCGTTACGGATTGCCGGTTTGACGTTTTTAAAACTGGATAAATTAAAAGCGTATCGCGGAATACGATAGTCGCCCGTGTTGACTTTTCTTTAAACGGGTCGAGAGAGACGGCGGAATGAGTCTTACGGCTGCGGGTCGACGGAGGACCCGACGGCGGCGGTTTCGAAAATCTTGTCGCCTTCCGTCCGGTTCTGCGTCGACGTTTTCCGCGGAGTGCCGTGTTTGCGTTTGGTTCCGGCCGGGCCTTCGGACGTGCCTCGTGGAAGCTCGGCTTACCTCTGCCTTCGTTTTCCGTCGAGGATTCGAGTCGGAGAACGACGGAGTGAAAAATGCCGATTCCGAACGGATTTCTATTTTTACCTTGCGTCACGTAAAGAGTCTTTGGTGGTTTCTTGTTTTAAATGACCCGCGTGATAAATGGGATAAATGTTTGGTGTGGCTAGCGGTATCGAACGGTTTTGCGGGTATCGTACGTCTTGGCGAGATAAAGTGAGATGTCCTCTCTCTCTCTTTGGACGGGAATGCTGTTTACAGATTGACGACAAACCAAAAATTTTGTAGAAATTTGATAATCGGAATTGCTTTGGATGGAATGTTAAAATTCCGATCCGGGGAAGTCGAAAGTAATGTAATTGGTGTCGGGGGACCTTGAAAACTTTTGACTTGCAAAGAATTTGAATTAAAGAAATTTTGATTGGAGACATGAAATTTGTAAGCTATTGCATTGAGACCTACCGAGTGCTTTTTTTTTATTTAAAGAAATTGAAATATACATAAGAACAATAATACAATAAAATCTGTCTGATTCTATTTGAGTCGAGGAGATTTTACTTTATTATTGGCTGCGTTTAGCAGACTCGACAGTTCTAGAGCTGTTGAGTATTTTTTCTGTTGAACGCCCTCTACAGTAGCACTCTTTTGGAATATGTTTGGTGTTTTGAAGTCACATTTGGTAGCATCTTTCATTTATGCTAATATCGCTAGCCGAAACTGACCAATAAGGCTTTCTGTTCAATAAGACCAAATCAATGTCGCACTTTATTCGGCAGATCCAGATTGCTATGTAACAGATACTGATTTGCTCAGTTACAACAGTTGAGTCTGCTGAATGCAGCCGTTGTCGGCCAGACAGAAATTGACAAATGTTCCTGGCTGACTTGATCGACATACTTCGGTTCTAAATGTAAACAAAGCCTGTAGAATTCTAGAATGTGGGTTACGGATTCTTTTGTTGTGGCGAGAGGTCATTTGTTCTTGGGTGACGGAATAGATGCCCGATTTCGGTGGCTTCGACGAGGAGTTTGTGTCTGGGAGCCATCGCTTCATTTGTTTCGAGTGTGTTGCCGAGACGGTTGTCAAAAAGGTGAATTCGAGTGGATCGATGTAAGAGGGTGACCGAATGAAGGTGTGGGTATCTTGAAAAGATTTACTTATTTTTAATTATAAACTAATATATTAAAACAATCCATAAAAATGAACAGGAAAAGTAAAATTTTTTATTTGAAAAAAAAGAGAAAATTGTATTATATTAAAAATTAAATTTTCAATGTAATAATTTTTGTAGCAATGTATGCAAAATAATCTATTGGTTGTATGAATTAACTACGTTTGTCGTGCTTGATTGGGAATTTATCGTGCTGATAAATTTATTGAGCTATATTGTTTTGTGATGGTATGTCTTTCAGTACAATTAATGCTATTATAATTTATTACTTTAAGTGTGAAGTAACGTAAATTTAGAGTCAAATTTATTGTTACTTCATATTTAAAGATAGCAAAATTTAATGTTCTATAATAAACTATTATCTTTATATTAATTTTTTTTCTTCAGGCTAATGTTCCAAAATGGAATACATTAGCATGATGTAGATTGAAAACGTATGTATTTTATCTGCATTAAACTACACTGGAATGTCATATATAAGGTTCGTCAGTTTGCATTTGTTCTAACATCAATTTATCCGATAGCCATCTAAAAATAAAAAGTGTATGATTGGGAATTCTCAAAAGAAAATGCAATGCAGCATAAATACTGTCTGGAGCCACTGTGTTATTGAATTAAAACTTTACTTGTTGGAAATAGTTTAATTTGCAAATGTTTTTGACTAGTCATTTTCTAGTCGTCGTCGAGCGTTGACGATGGCTAAGTTTCAAGTGAAGAAGCCATTGGTTTTTTTGTTTAAATATTTATTTGAAGCAGCTAATAAAGGTTTAGCCTAAAATATTTGTGGATAAAATAATTTTTATCAAGTAAAAGTCCATTGGTTTTTTTCTTTTACAATTCGATACTTGTAAAGCGGTAAACTCTACTAGTACAAATATACCAGACACTCCCTCAAGAATTAACTGTCACAAGTAGTAAAATTCAGCTTTAAGTACAAGTTATAATAATTAATAAACAAACTTTACTTTTATCTACAAAAAATGTCTTTGAAATTTAATGATCTTGGCCTCTAAACTGTCAAAATGTTGATATTTCAAAAACTTCAAAGTCCCTTAAATTCAGTAAAGAACAGAAAAATTTATTGATGAAACATTTAAACAAGGTCTAAAAAGTTAATTTTCTCAATCAATTTCTATTCTTTGCTGGATTTAAGGTGCTTTGGAGTTTCTAATCTAATTATATCGTATTTAAAGTGATTTTTATTGATATTTTATTTTAGTTTTATTAATATGTGGTATACAAAGGAGCTATTAAAATAAAGTTTTCTTGCCGCAGTTTGTTGTGAGAAAATATTTGTCCATCAGACTAATTTTAATTGTTTTCTATTATTGTTTAATGTTGAATTTTTTATTGATAAGATCAAAAGTTGTGAAAATAAAGATGAGAAATCAGTCAGTCTTCTTCCTGTTGATATTTATTTTTTACAAAATTTCATTTATGATATAAATTGCAAAATTTAATGAAAAGAAACATTGCTGTATCTGAAATGCTTACTGCTTTTGAATAGCGAGTACATCTTAAAATCAAATTATTTGTAAAGTAAAAATGCAAATGCAGAGTAATCTTGTTTTTAATTGTACTAGTTACAACTTTAAGTACTTCTAATATTAAATTAATAAATTGCATTAAAATCTATCATTTTTGATCTGTGATAAGCTGCTCCACAAAAGTTTAGAACCACTCAAAAATTACATAGAACATACACTAATAGAAAGAACTAGACATTTTTATGAATAATTCAGCACCTAACTTATAAAAACATAATTTTAGGAAACTAATTTGTGGCTGACTGTGGAATAGCGATGAAATCAATTTACATACTGCCACATAAATATAGAATACTGCCACATAATTATAGAATCACCATTTTTCTTGCAAGTTTTAAGTGTTAAAAGTATGTTTTTTTTTTTAAATTTTACACACCTGAACCATTTACGGTGTAATGATGCAAAACATTGGTAAACAAACGTTTTCGAACCCCTTCTGGGCTCTGCTTCATTGGAACCTGAAGCAGAGCCCAGAAGGGGTTCGAAAACGTTTGTTTACCAATGTTTTGCATCATTACACCGTAAATGGTTCAGGTGTGTAAAATTTTTTAGTAATTCCGGTGTGATAAATGGTGAATTATTTGTATTTTTTTTTTTTTTTATCAATCCTCGTGGTACTCATTTAACAGATTTTGAGAAAGAGCAAATTGTAGCTTTGAGAAGCACTGGTTTAAGTCATCAGACAGTAGCAAATAGTATTGTGTTTGAAAAATGTAGTTCAGCATTATTTGTCAAATGCTGCAAATTATGGATCAAAGTGTAGAAGTATGTCCTCAAAAGCTTCTCCCACGAGACCACAGACGAATTATTAATGCAGCCTCTAATTCCACTGCGTCCACACACAAAATTTGGGATAATTTTGTATTCAAGAACATCACGAAACCATTTGAAGGGTTTTACACAACAACAACATTATTCACTCTTAAATGAGAAATGCCACTGCTCTTAAGCCTGAACACCAAGCTGCCTGACTCAATTTTGCTATTAAAAATATGGCCACTCAATAGAATAAGGTAAGTTTTTTGTTTCGTTTAGACCTATCGTGCTAGCACAAAAAATAACAACCTTTTTGTCATATAGGTAATCTTTTTGGATGGAAAAAAAATTAAAAGATGGTTTAGTGTTGTACTGGCGTGATTTATGAAAAGAGTCCAAGTACTTTTTGCAATGAAACTTTGGTGATGGGAGTGTTATGGGTTGGGGTACTTTTTCTGCATTGGGAAAATTGGATTTGGCATTCGTTACCTGTCACATGAACAGTGCTGACTATCAAGTTCTGGAGAATAAATTGCTGCCATACAAACATAGATTCAGAAGAATTCCTGTTATTTTTCAACAGGACAATGCATCTATCCATGTATCATGAGATACAAAACAGTGGTTTGAAAATAAACGGATTGGCTAGTTTTGTTCTCCTGATTGCAATCCTATAGAAAAAGTTTGGGGATCTTGGTTGGCTGAATTTATGACCAAAATCATCAGTATGCCGATATTGAACACTTCAAACGAGCAATTGCCACTACTTGGAACTCCCTTGAGACAATGGTCAAAAAAAAAAACCTTGTTGATAGCATGCCAAATTGCATTTTTGGTGTT